TTTATAGTTAAATTTGGTATCGTTGGAAAAGTCTTGACCTGGAGTTGTGCCTTTTGATGGTTTCATATCATTCTCACCAATAGTCAATTTTTGATGATGAAATATTTAGGCTGCATTTAAGAAGATTCTATTTCTAAATACATAATTAAGGAATGACCTTGTATCTTGTGAACTATTGACATTTTTAAAGATATAAGCTCATCCCGACATTACACTCATCGTATATATTTATATGAAAAATTGATGTGGATACTCAAATGAAAGGTCTTGATGAGTGAAACATCGGGATGAGCTTATATCTGTAAAAAAGTCAATAGTTAAGAAAGTACAGTGCAATTTAAGATAATTAAGAAATGACCTGTTATCGTGTGAAATATTCCCGTGTAAAAAAAATCGTCTTAAAATTGTCGTTCGTTTAAGATCTTAAACGTGACACAAATTAAGACTATTTTAAGACTCTTTTAAGATGCCAAAAAAAAAAATTCCGAGATTTTTTAACAATTATTTTGATTTTCTTAAGACTATTTTAAGATTTTTTCAAGACGATTTTAAGATTTTTCTAAGACTATTTTAAGATTTAAGTTTTAAAATAATTTTTATATAGTCTTAAAAAATCTTAAAATAGTCTTAAAGAAATCTGAAAAAAAAATATTAAAAAATTTTTAGGCTATTTTCAGATAACAGCACAGTGGCAGCTCCGGAAAATTATTATGGAGCGTCTATTAAATTGTCTTAAAAAAATCTTAAAAAAAAAATTTAGACTATTTTAAAATGGGCTAACAGCAACAGAGCCCCGGAACATTAAAACGGAACGTCTTAAAAAAGTATTAAAATTGTCAGATAATAATTTTTTAACAATTTTAAATTCAATTAAAAAACATCTTACTCAAAAATATTGCGGTTAGAAAGCTCGTAGTTGAATTTGTGTTTCATACTATTGGTTCATCGCTTCGCGGTGTTAACTGGTATGTTATGAAACGTCCTACCGGTGGATTTAGCTGTAAAAGGCGACATCCAATTTAATCCTATCGCGGTGCTCTTAATTGAGTGTCGAGGTAGGCCGGTACGTTTACTTTGAACAAATTAGAGTGCTTAAAGCAGGCTTATTTCGCCTGAATACTGTGTGCATGGAATAATAGAATAGGACCTCAGTTCTATTTTGTTGGTTTTCGGAATACTGAGGTAATGATTAATAGGGACAGATGGGGGCATTCGTATTGCGACGTTAGAGGTGAAATTCTTGGATCGTCGCAAGACGAACAGAAGCGAAAGCATTTGCCAAAAATGTTTTCATTAATCAAGAACGAAAGTTAGAGGTTCGAAGGCGATCAGATACCGCCCTAGTTCTAACCATAAACGATGCCAGCTAGCGATCCGCCGATGTTCCTCCGATGACTCGGCGGGCAGCTTCCGGGAAACCAAAGCTTTTGGGTTCCGGGGGAAGTATGGTTGCAAAGCTGAAACTTAAAGGAATTGACGGAAGGGCACCACCAGGAGTGGAGCCTGCGGCTTAATTTGACTCAACACGCGAAATCTCACCAGGCCCGGACACCGGAAGGATTGACAGATTGATAGCTCTTTCTTGATTCGGTGGGTGGTGGTGCATGGCCGTTCTTAGTTGGTGCAGCGATTTGTCTGGTTAATTCCGATAACGAACGAGACTCTAGCCTGCTAAATAGGCGTATTTTGGTATCTTGAAAGGCCCTTGGTTTTCGGATCAAGTGGTTTTTACTTCCGACGTACAATATTATCTTCTTAGAGGGACAGGAGTCTTCTAGCCGCACGAGATTGAGCAACAACAGGTCTATGATGCCCTTAGATGTTCTGGGCC